GGGGGAGTTTTGTGAAATTTGCAACATCCACGAGTTCCAGGTTCTACAGCCGCTGCTTGGGGACTGACTGCAAATCAGTCATCCAGTGGTGAGAAAACTGTATTGTATTTAGTTTGTTTTGCATATTTATCATTATCATTAGTAGTATTAGTAGTAGTAGTATTTCCTCTGCTGTCTTATTAAACTATCTGTATCTCAGCCTATGAGTTTCCCCTTTTGTCCATTTCTCCTCCCTGTCCCACTGCGGGGAAGGGGTGAGCAAGCGGCTGTCTAGTGCTTAGCTGCCAGCTGCTGCGTTAAACCACAACACCAGGCAAATACAGTTCTTGCCCCATTTTTTCCCTTTTATTTTTGTACTTGGAACACTGCTTTCACAAAAGCCTGTTTTAGTTTCTACACACCCTTCTCCATCTCCTCCCTCCACCGTCTTCCCACCTCTCACAGCCAATGAATCGCAACCCAGCTTGCAAGGACAAACGCAGTTTGCAAGGACAATTTACTGCAGGTTGGTCTTGGCTCTCATCTCTGCAGGGAACCCTGGCCCCATCGTCACCACGAGCACCTGCGGGAGTCACGGGCTGTCTTTGCATAGAAGTCTTGCTGTACACATGCTGCAAATCCAGTGCTTCCCCATGTGCCAGATACAATGGGTGCATGCTCACATCCTCAAAACAGCTCAGCTGGCTGCAGAGTGCAATATTTCTACCCAGCCAGGAAAGGCTGTTTCATACAGACCTTCTTCAAGCCAAGGGGCCTTTGTGACGTTAGACAATCGACATCAAATACTTAAAGGATCACTGAATGAGACGCAGGTAAGAAAAGTGGTATTTTAATTCTTTTGCTTCCATGCATTCCCAACTAATTCCCTCTCACATTTCAAGGATTACAGCAGCTTCTTTGCAAAAAGAAAAAAAAAAAAAAAAAGCTCTCCGTCAAGGTTTTTTAAAAATGCATCTTAAAACTTCTTTCTCCCTCAATTACTCTACGATTTTTCTTGTGATCAGAAACAAAACCATGAGGTAAACAGAAGCAAATTCCAAGCTAAGTAACATGGGCAATCCTTCTGTTCTGAATTCCCGTAACATGGGGGTGGGCAGGAGAGCATCCATGTTTTGCTGCCACAGGACAGACAACTGGAACAAAGAATGCAACTGTAGAAATGGAGAGATCTATAATCTGAGAGAATCCTATAATATGTTGCAGCTCTTAAGGAGCTGTAAACCACAGAAGCCCTTTTTCTTAGGATGCTCTGGAATACAAGACAAAGAAAGGACAAGCCTGGACAGAAGATGAATAAACATTAGCTACCAGCAGCCTAAAATAAATGTCAAGTACCCAAGCCAACCACAGAATACATTGCACATGATCAGTTTCTGCAAAGATCAATAACATACTTCCTCACAGCAACTCAATTTCGATAGTACAGTCTCACAAGATTTTATTATTGCTATCTCCAGCCCTGACTAAAGCTTTCAAGGCTTCCTGCTTTGCTAGAACACACACTCCGTAGTAAAAGTAATTAAAAAGTCAATAAGCTTTACATTTCCTCTAAGCCATAGCAGAGACCTCCTACATAAGAGTGACACTTCAATCACCCCAAGTACTACTTCCCTGTTGAAGTCCTGTAAGTGAGCTGAACAAGAAATTACTTCTTCGATTCTCATTTCCTTCCGTCACTCCTCTCTTCCTTCTCTCTCTTTCTCTCTTCGTTCCTTTCCAGAAACAGGAGGACCAGAAAGGCAGAGCATGGTTTTTATTACAAAATGATAGAAACTTTTGAAGGGCCTTAGAATGTTCCCAGACTCACTAGAGCTGTCCTAGAGCAGTGGTCTCCAACCTTTTTTGATCAAACAAAAAGTAAACAAGTTTTTGAGCTAACACTTCTAATATATGTGTATTTATTTATATATTATATAAATATCCCACTGTACCACTATATTATGAACATTATAAAACACACAGGGAAACAGAAGTTAAAAAAGGATGAGGATGATGAAAGAACCACCACTAGAACAGCCCCAGAGCACTTAGTCTCAGGAGTTTTGTTACTGAGTCTGGTAAAAAAACAAGTTTGTCCAATGCTATTATAATACAAATACAGTCAGATGCAGTTTTATTCCTCACTACAACCTATAAATTGTGATCAATCAAGGTGCTGAATATCAGCAGGCAACGTATCTGTGCTGCTTTTTACACCTCACTTATGAATAAAGGTCCTCTGCTAGATCAAGTTCTACACACTAACAACACTTAACCACCTCTCCACCCGAGTATTTCTACTGCTGGAATCAATACCAGGTAACTTAAAATACAACGGTACACAAAGCCTTGCTTTAGAATAAACTACTAGATGATTGTCTACATCCTTCTATTCATTGGTATATTCAAAGAGTACAAGAGACAAACTGATGCAGAGTTCACTGAATAGGCTTTACAGTATTTTCTGTCTTACTGCTGACATTTTGCCTTCCACAGCTTCATGTTTTTTGGTTGTACTGAAAAATTCTTTTTGAACGGTACACAAAGCCTTGCTTTAGAATAAACTACTAGATGATTGTCTACATCCTTCTATTCATTGGTATATTCAAAGAGTACAAGAGACAAACTGATGCAGAGTTCACTGAATAGGCTTTACAGTATTTTCTGTCTTACTGCTGACATTTTGCCTTCCACAGCTTCATGTTTTTTGGTTGTACTGAAAAATTCTTTTTAGGGTGTATTAAAAATAAGACATTCTAACAAAAAAAAAAAATCTGTTAAAGCAGATAAGCTCTAATCGTGATTTTCTTTTCTAAATCACAGCTATCTACACTGCTTGTCCCGACTCTTTGGCAAAGTTACTGGACTGCAGCAAACATGGCGCACTCAAAAGCTGTTGATCTTGGAGCACGCAGAAACAATCCCCACTACTCAGACTATCCTCTGCGCTCTTACTTATAATGGTGGCTTAAAGATGTTTAGCACTTAACAATACATAATAAAGACAAAGGCTCAGAGCCTCAAGGAGTTTACACAACTTTAATCTCCCAATCCCAAAATTGCCACTGTGTGGCTGCACTGGCACTAAGCAGAAGCACACACAGGCTACGCATTAATTGCTATGCAAATGAAATGAGCGGGTCACAAGTTCAAAACAGACAAGGAAGGCTGCTAAAGCATGGAACCTCTTTGCACAGGTGCTGGGGAAGAGAAAAGCTCGTACCTTGAAGCCCTCTAAGCTCTACTCTCTGCCCAGCTCCAGCCAGACCAAATAAACACCAACCCAGCAAACAAGAGCTTTCAGCCTTGCACTCCAGCAGAGGTAAAGAACCCTGCCCTCAGCATCCCTCTTGATACAAGCAACCACAACCCTACTATCAAAGCCCTGTAACCACGGTTGGCTTTTTCAGGCCCCCCAGAAGCCATTCACTACCCTCATCCCTCCTGTAACCGTAGATCCCAATCTTTACACCCCCCCTCCACGCAGAGGAAAGAAACAGCATACAAAGCTATTTCTAAAACACTTGCACATATACAGGCACACTTTGCCCCCAACACCAGGCATAGAGCTATCTATGGAAAACCTACTTGCTCACATCTCTGCTTTATCTTTCTTTCTGTTCAACAGAGCCCTTCAGTTTTGCAAATATCCAAGACAATGAGCGTTCTCTGCTTCCTCAGCCAGGTCTTCCGCTTCCATCTGCCCCTTTTCTCGCTAGGAATGAATGCTTCACTTTCCCTTTCTGCTTCCCTTCTTTCAAAACATTACAGAACTCCTTGCTAGCTACCAAGGGATTTGACAATCAGTGACAACATCATCTGTTTTTCCTATTATGAGCAGGCTCTGCTCTACTAGCTGTGTCCTTATGATCAGATCCATCATAAAAGGACACACAATTGATGTAATAGAAATTTTATCAGGAACACATGCACTAAACTTCCTAAAAGCCCCAGACTCATTATGGACATGCTTCATTCAGACATCATTTTCCAGTGATAACTACATACCTACCCTTAAATTAACTGGGATATTAGGATAATGTTTAAATAGATAACACCAGCTTTGTTTTCCCCAGAAGAACAGACTCCCCTTCTCAAGTCATTATAATATCTGGACAAGTTTCCTGTTTGTGGTTTAAAGTCATTGGTAAAACCCAGATCATGGTGCAGCTGGCAAAACACTGATCTGACTTAACCACACTGACCCATGCCTGCCAGAGAATACAACTGAGAATTCTGAGATGATAAAGTTAGAACCTACTTTTCACAAGATGTCATTATCGTGGTTACATTTTCCCATTATTTTATTCTAATAGCATAGAATTATCTGTCTTCTGTTGCTTTATGGAAAAAAACCACATTTACATATTGACCAGATAACCTAAAAGCAAACACTTATTCTCCAAGTCTGTATAATGTCTATCCACAACCCAGGCTGCTGTCATACCAATACCTCAACACGTAAGGTGAACAGACAAAGGAGAAGATTAAATATATAGCAATACAGTTTAACCAAAAGGTCACAGTCTTTTAACCCTATCTTATTAATATCTCTATCTACCTGCATCTGTAAGTACGTTCCCCCTTTACCTGTAGATGCTGGGGGTTACTGGATGGAGGAGAGAACGAAAATTTTTCTCTGTTGCAAATGAAATTAAATCTACGGAGCAACCTGATCTGTGCATGGAAGAGCAAAGACAGGAGTCACAAGAAACCCTTGCTTGCAAGAGATTTTACCCATTTTTAATATCATGAGCCTACTAAACATAAAGCACATTTTTCTTTACCCACAATTATTGCTTTTTCACTTACGTGTGATCAAGTCATGTGCATCATATAAAGTGACATATGCCTCATTTAGAGGATTTGGCTTTATGTGCAAGAACCAAACATGATATCAGTTGTTTCAGCAGTATATCCCCTAATGCCTACATCTCTCCATGAAACTCCACCAGTAATACGTTTACAACAGGCAACACAAACTTCTGCAGAACATAAAAATGAACTGAAGTTATACTTACTGTAACCTGGGAAGCATCCATGAATTGTAGGCCAAAGTAATCAGTTTCCACAAGGTCCAAATGATATACAATCTGGTCAAACAACTCCTGTCCCTTTGCATTTTTCTGTAACAGAAAAGAAATTTGGGTTTTTTTGTGGGTGTGGGTTTGTTTGTTCAAATGGGGGAGAGGAGTTGCACAATGGAAAACAGTATCTAAACAGTAATTCTGTTTATTCTGAAGAACTGTATTGACATTTCTTTTTATTTTCTTCGAGAAAGATATAGTGACACATTCCTGTCTGCACGTATTCCAACAGCACCAGACTTAGCTCTCGAAGAACACTTTCAAAGCTCACTGCAACTCAAAGTGTAGGCGAGAAAGGAAAGGTTTACGTCCTGAAAGTGTTCTAAGTCACAGAGCCAACGTTTTAAACCCCAGGAAGACAAGTTCTCCAGTAAAAGCTTGTTTGACACACTGCCTGAAATGTACTGGCTGTTACCACATATCAACTGCAGTCATGCAGTGCCATACCACCACTCAGGCTGCAAAATAAATTTCTGGAAGAAAACTTGAAGAGCACTGTGAGGAAAATTAATGGGATTTGAAAAGAATCTTTCAATAATGTTGCTAATTGCAATCACATTTACAGTCTTTAAATGGAGAAAGAAAAAACAAAAACAAAAAAACTACAATTCTTACTTGGCTTGCCATCTGAAACACATAGGCATGGAAGCAAAACTAACCCAAATCATGGGTTAGCTGATCTTAAAGCTAGGCTGCATTGGCCTGTGTACTTGTTCTGAGGTTAAGCCAAGACTTTAGGTACCTAATGCTTCAACTTCAAACACTAGAAGAAGCAAAGCTTGGAGGTTACAGGTGGGTGGGAGGAAGAGGGACTAACAAATCAATTTTTCATGCAAACTTGTAGTGTTAATTGGGGAAGGAAGTTTCCAAGTTTCTGAGCAAAAAAAAAAAACCCTTGGCTAAAAATACATGAGATTATAATAAATCTCAGTCAGAGACTGAAGCTAACAGGTGTATTTTATACAAGAAAGTACAGCTCTGGAACCACTTTTGTGCCTGCTGTCCCTCATACACCTTTGAGGATTTATTTTTTTATTTCTGTTTTTTTAAAGCTCTAACATATTAGGCATCCCCACTTCATCCCAAATTGTAGTAACATTCATTGATTTCAGCCGAAGGAGAGCTAAACAGCGTTTAGTTCCTTTAGTTTGGCCTTCTGCACAAAAGCAGCATCAATTGTAGCATGCAGAACTCCTGTCCAGGATTCCAAGCTGTCTAAAATCTGTCTTCTCCAGCAGAAGACAAGATGAAGAGTTTCATCTTTCTCTGCTTTTCCAAGAAAGTCAAGCAAGCTTAGGCATAGGCAATAAATTTTATTTAAGTTGAGTTTTTTTTGGGTTTTTTCTTTGTGGGTTGGTTTTTTTTTTTACTAACAAAGCAGAAGCACAGAAATCTAATCTTACTGAATTTCAGGAACAGCATTATGAGCAGCAATAAAACAAACTGCGTAAAAACTTAAAACAAGCATTAAATTATCATCATAAGCGACTGTTATTTGGGGAGGCAAGAGGTGAATAATAAACATTCTTAATCAAAGTTCAACATGCTGTTGAAATCAGATGACAACACAACAGCTTCTTAAAGCAGTACACTGCTAGGAAACCATAATCTTTAGATGTACAATAATTGCTGTAAACCAAAGTTTGTTAAAAAAAGTATCCAGAACATATTTTCTCATATCTACTAAACTCAGCACTTGTTAAAAGAAGCCAAACCGAAGCATAACATAATTTAAACTGATTCTGCTCAAATGAGGAAGGAGAAAACCTTCCATAGCAATAAAAAAGAAACAGCAAGACATGAGAAATTCACGAAACTAGGAAAAACTGATTTGATGCCCTATGATCACTCTATTCCTGGCTGCTTACTTTATGGCACTAACTACCAGCATGTTTACCTTCGACTGCCACACACCCAATAGAAACCAGAGAGAGCACACTCCACCTTCTGTACCCAAATAGTAGTTAATGTTCAACATGTGTGTTACACGGAGAATAGCTCTGCACTGCACGGCTAGACCATAAAATGCAGTATTACATACACAGCTGACAGGAGATTATAACATTTAACTTGTCACTAAATGAGCTTTCCCAGCAAATCCTACCATTCAGATGATAAGGCTGCTGCAGCCAACAAATTGCTGACAAAAAACTTTCTTTGAGATGTGACACTAAAGAGGGAGATAAAAGTGACTAACTCCTTTCCTCTACTAACAGTTAAGGATGACCTGCTCTCCGTCCTTCTGCCTCTTCGTTGCCTGACAGTCGAGCAAGTCAGACTGCAGACTGGTGAATTGGTACCTGTGCACTGAACGAAATGGGTGGTATAGGCAAAACAGAAGTGAATCCTCAGGAATCCCACGTGTCCACAAGCATAAAAGTAGTCTCTAATGAAAAAAAAAGTTCCTATTATAAGAAACTTCTGATTTTCATGGTCTTTTCCTCCTCCTCTCCTTCTAGATAAAAAATGCTTCCTCTGTCAAAACCTGGTACAACATAAAGAATGTAAAACTGATTTAATACAAGAAAATTTTCATAGTAGAACTATTTGGTTGGAATTTAACAAATTACACTTTCTCTACAGACTCTCAACTTGTACGTATTTTTGGAAGCTACACGTAAAACACAAGACAACTTTAAACTAGGAATTGCACTCCTACCTTGCTAGACAGATGGCTCAGAACTGTCAGTAGTAAAAGACCTGCACAACTTCCATCTCGAAAAAGGCAGTATATGGCAACAAACAATACACACATACTATTATATCCAGTTACTACTTTGTTGTTATGAAAGTTACTATAATTGGGAACAGTGATGTAAGGAAAACTGCAAAACCTTGTTTGGTTTTCAGAGATTTCTGTTTGTTTGTTCTTGTTTCTAAAAATTCAACAATTCAAACACTGCCAATTTCTGCTGGAGTGTTCCTTGAAAACCAGGAGAGCTTCTGTGAGCACCACGAAACCTCACAGGCAAACACTGGGGGGTAATTTCAGCTGACCAGCTCACAAACAAAACTACAGCCGCAATCCTGGGTAAAACTGAACTAGTGTGAGGCAGTCACTAGCATTCCCTTTCGCCTCTTTGTCCTGCAAGAAGTTTAGAAAGACTGAATTACACTTGCAGGTTGGGAAGCTCCACGATAATGAGCAACTACTGAGAAAAAGGAGAAGAAAAAAGAAAAGGTGTTTCTCATGTCAGTCAGCCCTGTCCCACCTGACAGTCATGACAGCTTCCTCCACTCCATATCCTGGAAGCCCTTCTCAAATAACCCCCACCCCATCATATTTTCTTTGGGACCGTGAATCATGGCATCAAAGGAAATTCTCACGTTTAAGGAGGACTTTTTGCTGGGTGCTCCCACAAGGACTCAAAGCGGCACGAGTATAAAGCACCTCGTAGAGCCGCAGTGACAGCTGCCTGGCCCGCAGCTCAAGCAGGCTGAATTTTCAGCTGCCAAAGACTTCCAGGCTCAGGGAATCTATGGAGATTCTTGTCAGCTAAAACCTGTCAAAACAAAGATTAACTTCTCTAATTAGAAACTCTTCCAGACTTGACATGTGTATAGGCAAGAGGTTTTAACGTGCTTTTAGTGGGCATGAAGGAAAGGGCAAATTCATGAGCCGGGGACATTTTACACCAACTGGCTCTGCCCAAACAGGCTGATCAGCGCTGATTTTGGCTATTCCAGAACTGTTTGAAAGGTTCTGTCGACGGGCATGAAAAGGGGACACAGAAGCCAGAAAAGTCCCAACGTAGTGCATTCACAGTGCAAGAATGCCATCGACAACTCTCCGAGCACAGACAGCATAGCTGGAGAGCTGCTGAGAAGGCTTGCCCCAAACCGAAGGGCAGTATGTAGCAACCAAGCACAGTGCATTACGTGAACTCAAGTGGGGTGGCTGAAACTGTTGAGTCATACTAGAGACTTCAGATTACAGCATCACAAATGCACTATTAACCGATTTCAGAAATAGGTGAAGTTGTGCTTGGGAAAACAACCTGTTATATAGGTCAGGAGGACATGAAACAGCCTGCAAGTTGACAAAATCATAACAAAAAAAAAAAAGGAAAATAAACTACTGCTAAGAAAAAAGTCAAAGCCAATTAACTGCAATGTGTTGCAAACTGAACAGTGAGGACTAGCAGAAATGAACACGTAGGGCAGATTTAGTTTCTTTTTCTAAAGAAAGCACAGGATTATGTACTCTGCAACAGGTCAATTATTTTTGCAGAGTGGGCTGCTGTGACCTCATGGCCACAAACACCAGGTTTTAGCTCCCGGTAAGTTAGTAAAGGAGTATTTGTAGCTAGCAATCCTCTGCTCTGCAGGCCTGACACGGCTCTGTTCTACTGGCATCAGCATTCCCCGCTCCTTGGCATTTCCCGGAACAGGACAGCTCAGTTTTGCTCGGTTCACTTCCACCTGAGCTGTTTTTAACTCCTTTTTCAAACCTAAAACCAACACTTGATCTGCTGGCCATATTGCTTAGCAGTGAGAACTTGCTTTGCCTTTTAACAGTCATTGGCAAGGTTGTTTTCCAGCATTTCAGACATACTGCAGGCTAAACACGCATAAAGCCATCGGGGCTTCTAAGTAGCCTTAACTCCTGGTGCCCATTATGATCTGTCCTTTAACTTGCTTTCTTGACAGTCAAGCACTCAGTTTCTCACACACATTCACCTGTACTGAAGGAAAGCAATATTTGCGCAATTTTAAGCACAAAACCGCAACTCTTTCTACATTCTTGCAAATCTGTTTCATTAGGTCCCTTGGGAAGAGCGTGGGACAGATATCACCCTGTTTTCCCTCTAGGCTTAGTCACTGGGGGGTATATGACCACAGTGAAGTCATCCTTTGGATTATGACTGTTGTAAGCACACCAGAGTTAGCGCGTATATACAGTGCAATTGCTATGACATCTAACAGCTTCAGCCAAGTAAGCATTTGAGGCCGGTGGCTGGGCTTGCAAAAGCTGCACTAAAAACTGTGGTATCCGTCCCTGCAATAGTGCTATAGGCAGTATTGTCAAAGATGGAAACACTTGATTTCAAGTTCCAATTTCTACTCTGCCACCGAGAGATGACCCCCTGCAGAGGGCATGATGCTCTCTGCAAGCCAGCCATGACCT